GGAAAATGTCCGTTGCTAAAATTCCGCTTCTATTGCCTCCTTTTCTAGTAGTGACATTCTTCAAAAAATATTATTTAGAACATAGTTTTGAAAATTAAAGGCCACCAAACATGGACTCAACAAAATTTCATCAAATCAATACCATTCTAGTCATAATTTAGCCTTTATTTGATGACCATTAAAAAGAGTTTTTTTGAGATAATAAATTTTGGAATAGTGATTTTTTGAAAAATGTGCAGTTAAAAAGTAGAAAAAATTTTGAGTTTACGTATAAAATGTTTTATTGTAAGAAATTGTGGCTGAAAATGAATTTCAGATAAAAAGAGTTTTATTTTAATGATTGTCAAACAAGGGCTTAATAATTTTGGCCTAATAACATTTTTATATGTGGAAATTACATCCCACCAAGGTTCTAAACGTCACTTCAGGTGAGAAGTTTAATTAAGCAAAAATCAGATACAGCGCTTCTTCATACTAAGCACTCAACGCTACCCGCTACAACTATCGGTGCATTGAAATGTCGACGGAGTCTCGAACGTAATGACGACGTCGGTGCAGCAGTGGCTCTCACGTTGCACCTCTACCTCTGCGGCAATGTCTCCGCTGTACACAGAAACAAAAGACGATTTTGTACAATATATGGAAAGACGATTTGGGGAAAGATGATGTAGGAAAAGACATTATTGCCGTCGCGATATCGTGATCTGGTGCTCGGCGAATGCGACCATTGCCATTGCTTCTAATCTGACAGTGGTTGGTCCGCAACAGCTCAGGACTGTTATTTCCTTTTCCCTTTTCTTTTTTTTTTTTTAATGAGTTTGATTTCTCCAATGGTTATGGTGGTTTGTATGGCCGATGGTTGCTATGGTGGTGTCTTTTGCGGTTGTTGTGGTGTGTATGGTTGTTGTTGTGGTGGTTTTGTGAGTATTGTGGGTGTGGTGGTGGTTTTGGAATTGTGGGGTGACAGCGGCGAAGTGTGTGGTGGTAGTGAGGGGGTGGCGCTATTGGCGGTGATGGTGTGTTGGTATGGTGAGAATGAAGAGTGTGATCATTATTAAGGTGTTGTGGCCATTAGTTAATTTGTGACTTAAGAAAATGTGTGATTGTTACTAAATTTGGAATCATGACGAAAAATTGGTAAGTCATGACCAAAT